AATTCATATGAAGCTTTTTACAGCTACAGCTTCAATTTTAATGAATTCAGGTCCAGAAGCATTTGTAGTTGATTGTAGTTAAACAATTTTTTTTCTTAGTTGAAAAAAAGTGCGTAATAAGTTTTTTTTAATTCATATGAAGCTTTTTACAGCTACAGCTTCAATTTTAATGAATTCAGGTCCAGAATCGTTTGTAGTTGATTGTAGTTTAAACATTTTTTTTTAGTTGAAAAATAAGTGCGTAATGAGTTTTTTTAAAAATTCATATGAAGCTTTTTACAGCTACAGCTTCAATTTTAATGAATTCTGGTCCAACATCGTTTGTAGTTGATTGTAGTTTTAAATTTTTTTTTTAAGTTGAAAAATAAGTGCGTAATGCGCTTTTTAAAAAAATTCATATGAAGCTTTTTACAGGTATAGCTTCAGTTTTAATGAATTCTGGTCCAAAATCGTTTGTAGTTGATTGTAGTTTAAAATTTTTTTTTTAGTTGAAAAATAAGTGCGTAATGCGTTTTTAAAAAAATTCATATGAAGCTTTTTACAGCTACAGCTTCAATTTTAATGAATTCAGGTCCAGAATCGTTTGTAGTTGATTGTAGTTAATTTTTTTTTTTTAGTTGAAAAATAAGTGCGTAATGGTTTTTTTTTTAAATTCATATGAAGCTTTTTACAGCTACAGCTTCTATTGAGCTAGTGGATGAGCACCCCTGGTATGAAACGCCGACCACTATTTTAAACACTGGCGCCACCTTTGTCTGCATCATGAATATATACAAACGTACATATATATTTATGTTGGTGCTCGCATTTATACGCGTTGCTGAGCGATCGCGTAACCCCAGTCCATGAGTGCATATGTATGTTCATAAGTATATCAATATATTTCATTTTATGCGAGCTTCGTTGCTGAAGCAGTACTATTTTTGCTTTACAGCAGGGGCGCTCATAGTCCCCTTTCAGACACGTCAAGTCTTGCTTTCAAGTCTGCTCGTTCGTAGGCGAAGGAGGTGAGAAGAGAGGGGAAGAGTACAGATACCTCCGTACCGTCAATTCGTTTCAAGTTTTCTTGTCTCTTTTGATCTTTTCGTTGCTTCCCATTTAAAGAACCAAGGACTTGAATTCAATTAAAGTTGACGCGTGTGGAAGCAAATAGAAAACACAAAAGAGAATGCGGAAAAAATTGCTTTCAAGACTTGACGTGTCTGAAAGGGAACATACAGTAGCTCAATTGTCTCAGTTGGCTCACAACAACATCACTGTGGCTCACTTTGGCTCATTTGCAACAAACACAGCAAAACAAATAAAAGCAGCGTTGACTCGCCAAAAACAAGCGGGACAAAAGTCGATCGACATTCATTCACTGCTGCCTCACGTATGCTTGTATCATTTATTTCTTGGTTTTGAGGTTGAAATCAGTGTTGCCACTTGAGCAAATGTTTATGTACCAAAATGCCTACCAAATCACTTTTCAAACTACCAAACCTCTTTCCATCATCAAAACGAAATTTCTTGAATTCACGGATTTTTTAGCTACGCAAACGATTTCAATTTTCATTAATTCACGTATTCAAAATCGGTCAAAATTCAATGCGGTTTTCGTATTCAGAAACGACTACAGTTTTCGTTCATTTTCGTATCTGGAAAACCTTCGAATATGATGACATTATTTCAAGCAGCAGTGGCTGAACATGCAGAACAGTGTGCTAGTATTTGTTAGCTTACTGAAGGTGCCGTGTTCGATACCGTCAGGTACTTCCTTAATTTATCTTTTCCCGAACTATGAAAAAGCATCTGTCAAGTGTAGAAGGAAAGCGTATTGAACGAAAAATTCAACCAGAAAATTTTCAGAAAAACAGACAAAAACGCATCCGTTTCAAAACATATGCTCCTGCCACATATTTTCCTCCACTTTTTTTTTCCTTTACGGAACCGTTTTCGGTTTTTTGGCTGGCTAGGAAGCGAACAAATTTTAGTGCTCAATTGGATTGCATTTTCAAAACATTTTTGCCTACCAAAAGCTTCATCAAACCAACCAAACTACCAAAGGAAAGTGAAGCTACCAATTTTGGTCCAATTGGACCAAAACGGCAACGCTGGTTGAAATACTTTTTGCAATTCCTAGAACGATGTTTTTGTAATTGGTATTGACGTTGTTGTCATTTGGCTCAGCAAGTTAAATTTGTTGAGCACCTCTGCTTTACAACATTGAACGATTCTCTTATAGGGCCCAGTGTATCAGATATCGCGAGAGTGAACAGAGTAAAGTTTTCATTCTATGTTAATCTAGTGTTTTCCTAGCAACATTGACAATGCCTAAGAAACCAAAATTTACTTGTGATGAATTGTTCGAAATTTTCGAGGGCTGCAACTTTATGGAAAATGGGCAGTATCTACCATACAGTGACTTCATTTGGCAAGCTGCATCTGGAAAAACCGACAAAATATTAAAAAAGGACTATATTTATCAATACATTACACAAAATCGAGGAGCTATAAATAATAATGTTCATACTGGCATATCGTACCGGCTTCACGGAAACTCGTGACGATAACTGGTCATTTAAAACTCCAATAAAAAATGATGGCACCTTGAAGGAGTTGAGAGAATCTATTCATTTGAATTTGACAGAATGGGATAAAATAGGGGTGCAGTTGAAAGAATACAAACAGAGGGCATGGGCATACGAAGTTTTAGCCGATGGGTGGAATGACAAAATTTATTATTCAATTTATGAAACGTTAAAGTTACCATGCCCATTTGTTTTTAAAAACGCTAAAATTAACAGAAATGCAGGTGCAATTTTCTTATCAATCAAAGGAAATTGTTCTGAATGTCATACCGAAATTCATTTGGAATTGATTTCAATGTTTCTACTTTGGATACGCGAGGCATTATTCACACTAAAAGACGACAACTTCGAGGCCATAGGAGGAGAATGGTTGCTGGTGAGTTGCACGGAAAATCGGCTTACTTATGGCGCCGAGAAGAACCTCATAAGCGTATGGAGTTCGGTGATCCTCAACCTGCGGATTTATACTCGTCCAATGTCCTTCGAAAAGTCACACAAGAAAGAATAGAAAAGGAACTCGGCGTTAAATCTGGTGATAACCCGATGATGTCTTTATTTAAGGCTCCACAATCTCCCCAATACTCTGCTGGTATTAGAGAAATAGGCCTAAACAAACCGTACGTTATGTATTGGCTACCTGAGCAACTGTCGATGTATAAAGTTTTCTTGAAAAGCAACAAGA